GAGAGAGAGAGAATGAGAGAGAGAGAACACCTGAGAGGGGATAGGGTCTGAGGACGAAGCAGACTCCCTGCCGAGCAGGAAGCCCGATGCGGGACTCGATCCAGGGACTCCAGGATCATGACCTGAGCCGAAGGCAGTCGCCTAACCAACTGAGCCACCCAGGCGCCCAACAAGGGAAAAATTTATGCATACATTGTGTGAACCTAAAGGTAGAGCATAATAATACCCTGAGGCAAATAAATGAAAAAAAATTCATCTTGCTCTTAGACATAAAAGATACTTAGCAATTACCAAAAGGCAGAAAGTCCATGTATCATATTATCCCAACAACATGTAATCATCTTGAAAGAAAATAAAATGAACAGAATTAGGAACTCAACTACTTGAAAATTTTGAAATGCTCTCTTTAATAATTTCTGAATTGGGTGCAAATCCCTGCATACAGTAACAGAAAGGATTTTTTTTAATGAAAAGAAAGCTCACTATCATAAAAATTGTGATAATATCCAAACCCTATGTAATGAGCGGACAGTTTATAGGTAAGGCGAGAACAAACATTACATCACACGAATGAGTGCACATCTCTCCTAGCTTAATGAAATGCAACTTAACATTTGTTAGGACTTCATTCCATGCCTATTTTTTTTTTTCATTCCATGCCTATTAAACTTAAAAAAACAAAATGATAAACCCAATGTTGGCAGGTTTTTTGTGGTACCAGGCTCAGCACTGGAGGGATGGGAATGAAAAATAATGAATCCCTGCCCTTGTGGAACCCAGTAGAATGGACATGGCAGACATGGCGGACTGTATGTAAGCATCATCATGAGGTGTTTAAAGTAATCCTTAAGAGTAAGTTACTGGAAGTGGTTAGTTTGTTAGTACGAGGGCTGAGATGTGTGTCACTAGAATATAACTGGGAGTTTTGTCTCACTCACCATGGTGTCCTCAATATTATGGAAACCACTGCCCACCACAGGGCAGATCCTCAATAGACACTTGGTGAATGAGTGCAATGTGCATATGGAATTATAGCAAAACCTTAAAACACAAGTTCTGTCTTATGTAACTCTGGTTATACCCACATACTCTGGTTTATATGTTCATTTTAAAGCTCAAGGGGATTTTGTAAAGATCTAAGTAGAGCATATTTCCCTCTCTGTCCAGATATTTAGATTCATAATTTTTAAATTAAAAAAGTATTCACACATACCCATACCACCATGTATTCTATTCTACTTTGGAGCCTTATGGGTCTAGATTTATGGATGTAGATGAGTTGTCCTCAACCCTGGCTGCACACTAGAATCCCCTGGAGCTTTAAGTACACTCCATACCTGGGTGCACTCCTAGACAAGCCCACTAATTTGTCTGAGGGTGATGCCCAGGCATCATCGATTCTAATGTTCAGCCAAGATACCAACGCCTCTTAGGCAGGAAAACTCTTCCATCAAATTTATATTTTCATTACATAGGATGTACTCGGTCATTCTTGAGAATAATCCTTTAAGAGGTTTTTGTGAAATTCTGAGTTCAAAAATACCCTTCTTGTATTGTGAAGAAAAAAGTGTCTGAACTGGGTGTATCAAGATGCTGGGGTGCCTCTGTGCCATCCTTCCCCTGATATTAATGTCATGGGTGGGCAGACGAGGCTAGCCTTGATAGCCTCTGATCTAATAGGAGAGGATTGTTGGAGGTTGACTTATCAGGCTGCGTTTATCTCAAAGGGAAGAAAGTTCTAGAAGTTCTCCCAGAGGCCAGAGGGAGAAGCCAGGCAGGAGTAAGAAGAGCCTGGATGGAAGGAACTTGCCTTGATAGTTGACCTAAAAACCATTTTGTCCATGTGATAAAAGGAGGCTTGAAGGTCAAGGTCTGGGATTGCTGATCATTTCTGAAGACACAAAGGAGTCTGGCAACCTAGATTTTAGGCTGTGCATCTCTTGGTGGGAGAACTCCACATGGGAGCTATGCTTTTATCCTGGGTTCTGGGGAACATTCTCTGGGACCAGGGTACCTAATGGCACACACTCTACATGCTTGCTGAGCTCTGTGCTGTCTCCAAATCATTTGTCCCAGTGCCTCCCGGGTTTGTCTTTCCAAGACTGGGGTTCAGTCTGCCTGTCTTCCCCTACCCACCTTGTCTACCTGTCCAAAGTTTGGAAGGGTTCCTAGGTCTGACTTGGAGCATGGCAGGAGCTCCCTGTATACTGGGACCAGCTGGGTCATGGATGGCCTCTAAATCAAGCTAGGGCTTGGGATTAAAGAACCTCCACTGGGCGCACTTTCAAACCCGTGCTAAGGGATCTTAGGGTAACTGCATCCTCGTTCCCCTCCTCCAGGTTGCCCATTCTCCAGGGAGGGACGTTTGCTTTTGTGGCACCCTCCCTGGCCATGCTCTCCCTGCCTGCTTGGAAGTGCCCTGAGTGGACATTCAATGCCAGTCTGGTGAACACCAGCTCTCCTGAGTTCACTGAGGAATGGCAGAAGAGGATCCGAGAGGTAACAGGGCAAGGGGGGTGCAGGGGACAATGTCACACGCCTACTGTATGTTTGATAATCTTGCTCTAGTTCTATTTTTTTTCCCCCTCCTTCCAAAGTCTGCACTTGTACTTTTGTAAATGAACTTTTAAATTTTAGGTTAACACATATAGAAAATAACACAGTAAATTTCCCAAAGCTGAACTTGTTCCTGTTACCAGCAAGCACCTGGATCAAGAAACAGAACATTAACGCCACCCCCAGAAGCCCCGTCATGCCTCCTTCCAGTCACTCCTCCCCTGGGGATCATCGCTGACCTGATTTCTAACACCACAGATGAGTTTTGCCTGGTTTTGAACTTTCTATACAGAACTCCACAGTACATACTAGTTTGCACCTGCTTTCTTCATTCAACATTGTTTTTTTTTTAAGATTTTATTTATTTATTTGACAGAGAGAGACACAGCGAGAGAGGGAACACAAGCAGGGGGAGTGGGAGAGGGAGAAGTAGGCTCCCCGTGGAGCAGGGAGCCCAATGTGGGGCTCGATCCCAGGACCCCGGGATTATGACCTGAGCCGAAGGCAGACGCCTAACGACTGAGCCACCCGGGTGCCCCCATTCAACATGATTTTTACAGGAGTCTTCCCCATTGTTATATGTCAGGGTAGACTCTTCATTCTCTTTACTGAGTAGTGTTCCATTATATGATTATACAGCAATTTACTTCTCTATTCTGCTGTTACCTGAACTGTGTTTAAGGGTAGTTTCCAGTTATTGGCTGTTATAGATAGTATTGCTATGGACATCTGTGTACTTGGTTTTAGGTGAACTTATCTATGTATTTCCATTGAATAGACATGTGGGGGTGGAATTGTTGAATCATAGGGTATGTGTACCAGTCAGGGATCTCCGGGGAAACAGAACCGATGGGATAATATAGAGATACACACAAGAGGAGATGTACTGTAGGAATTGGCTCACGTGGTGAGGGAGGCCAAGTAGTCCTTGAGCTGTTTGCTACAGACGTTGATTTTCATGCTGGTGGGCAATCTGGGTGGCCAGTCGTTTTTGTAGTAGTCTGGGCCGGGTCTTCAGTTGCAGAAGAGGCAAAGTTCAGACCAGCAACACTGTCAATACCAGTTTTTTTTTTTTTTAAGATTTTATTTATTTATTTGAGACAGAGAGAATGAGAGACAGAGAGCATGAGAGGGAGGAGGGTCAGAGGGAGAAGCAGACTCCCTGCCGAGCAGGGAGCCCGATGCGGGACTCGATCCCGGGACTCCAGGATCATGACCTGAGCCGAAGGCAGTCGCCTAACCAACTGAGCCACCCAGGCGCCCCTGTCAATACCAGTTTTAAAAAACATGAAATCCTCCCATATTCTGAAATGTCAGGCATGGGCAGACTGCCAACTCCGTGATGGGCCATACACCCTCTTATTCTCCCACCCAAGGCACCTGTGCCCATTGCTGTTGACAATCTGGACCATCCTGGGCAACGCAAGTGCCTTCAGATGGAGATGGGGATTATGTTGTTTGGGAGCCCGCGTGCACATGGTTTGTGGCCCAAGGTATCAATTCGTGGGCCCGGTGACTACATTCAAAGTCATACTTCCTCCCTCTTTTTAAGACTCAGGGACATCACCATGAACCACCTATATTTGAGATTTAAATATAAACTCCTGTCCCACACAAGGTAAAATTTCAATAGAGCCTTGTATGATCCACTTGCCAGGCCAAACTGCTAGTTGTTGGCCACACCCCAAGCCCACAGGGGCGATCCCGAGCATCTATGTGTGCGTAGTCAGCCGCATCACACATAACTCAGCCCATTGGCTGGATTTAGACTTGCTTTCCTTCTTCCACCAAGGGTCTTCTGTGGAAATGTTAAATACTCTAACAGCCTCCCCCTTTCTCAGTTAGGTGAGCAGCACCTTTAGCAAGGCTCCAACCCGGTCTTTCTGAATTTAGGGACTCACACGGTGAAACTCAAGTCTTTGTTGCTAGAGTTAGGTTACATTGTGAAGTAGTGTCTGTCCCAGGGGAGGGGGAATTGTCACTGGCTCATGAATCCTAGGAACCCCTCCCGTATAACTGCCTTTTCTTTACCCGACCATAACTATGTCCTTTAATTTTTTAAAAAGATTTTATTTATTCATTTTTGCGAGAGAGAGAGAGAGAGAGTACAAGCAGGGAGAGAGACAGAGGGAGAAGCAGTCTCCCCGCTGTGCTTGGAGCCCAATGCAGGACTCAATCCCAGGATCCCTGGGCTCATGACCTGAGCCAAAGGCAGACGCCTAACCAACTGAGCCACCCACATGCCCATAACTATTTCCTTTAATCAGCAAATGTTGTTGATCTGTCCTTCCTTACTTGAATGTCTTTCTGGCCTCACTCGAGATATGGTTGGGGTCTCTGATCTTAGAGTTATTGGCACCATTCACCAGTGGTCTAATTCCAAACAGTGCAGACTAGTTAGTAATGGTCTGTCAAAGAGGGAGAGGGGAGGAGGAGCTGCTCCAGACCCCAACCTCACCCCCACCCCCACGGCAGAACGGAAGCTCCTGGCTTCTGACAGGGTCCGTCCTCATTCAGCGTGGGTTCTACTACCAACATGTCAGGGAACACTGGGCTGCGAGGGCATAGTAGATCTGTCTGAGCCATAACCCGTGAGTTTCAGCCCAAACCTTCTGCGGTTCTTCTTCCCTTTCAAAAGCATCCTTTTGGCACACACCTGTGCTCTGATAGACAGGCTGAAGGTGCACGTACCTCCAAAATCTCATCAAGCCCTTGTGCTTCCTTTTTATCTCGGGGTGGACCCAGAGTTAACAAGCTCTTGAATCTTTAAAGAACAATCCCATGGTAGCTCTGGACGAAGATATGCCTAAGAATTTCACTCGTCAAGCTGGTGGGCCCTGGGTTTTTGCCAGGCAGGCTGGCCAATCTCAGAATGCCATGCGCTGTAGCGCCTTCTCCAAATTAGGCTGTGCTTCTTCAGGGAAGCCTGTTTTTACGGTGCCATCAACAGAATGAATCACGGAACACTTGCGCGGCTTGTGGGTGTTTGTTTATCTGCTGTCCCCCTGGGGAGCCCATATTTGGCTTCGTTAAATCCAAATTAAACCTAAGCAAAGAACAAGAAGTGGGGGTTCCTCACCCTGCTCTGCTAGATGCCAGGGCAGGATTTCCCTTTGGCGCAGACCTGCTGAACCCTGGGGTTTCTTATGCAGGAGTCTCTTGCCTGCATCCTATCCAAGAAGAAAGATCTGACGAGTTCATTTGTCTCTCCTCCTACTCAAGCACTTCTGCTCAAATCTTTCCTGCGTCCTAACGAAGCATCTGCCTCCAGCCTTACCATAGCCCAACTCACAAACCTGCAGCGCATTCAGAAGCAGTTATCTTGTTTTGAGGACACTGGGCAAGAGTTCTGGAAAATAATTTCCCTGGGGCTTGAACAGTATTAATAGTGAGGGAGGTGTTTAGGGATATGGGTCATGCTGTACCTGCATTAAACATGGGATCCCAAGTGGCAGAGACACCATATTTTCTTTAATACCTTTATTGTTTATTTTTGTGGTTATGATATATGGAGTCCTTTAAAGTCCTTTAAAGGAGTATGAAAACTACAGCTCTGTGACCAAATCCAGCCTGAGGTCTGTTTTTTAAACTGCTCACGAACTAAGAATGGTTTTTACATTTTATTTTATTTTATTTTTAAAGATTTTTTAATTTCTTTTTTGACAGAGAGAAACAGCGAGAGAGGGAACACAAGCAGGGGGAGTGGGAGAGGGAGAAGCAGGCTTCCCGCGGAGCAGGGAGCCTGGAGCGGGGAGCCCGATGCAGGTTTCGATCCCAGGATCCCAGGGTCCCAGGATCCCAGGATCCCAGGATCATGACCTGAGCCGAAGGCAGACGCTTAACGACTGAGCCACCCAGGCGCCCCTGGTTTTTAGTTTAAAAGGTTGTTTTTAAAAAAAGAGTATGTGATAGAAAGCACACATGGCCCACAAAATCGAAAATATTTACTATCTGGCTTTTTACAGAAAAAGTTTGCCAATTCCTGCTCTGAAACCCAGGGCCCAGGGTAGAGATTCCTTTTGCCCTAAGACAATAGTCTCCACTGTTTTTTTCCCATGTTACCTCCAAGGGTCCAACCCAGTGAGCCAAACCCGGAGCCCTATCTGTGGTAGTTGAGCTCCCTCTGCTGGTCCAGTGTTTTTCACCAGTGCTGTAAGTAGGAGAAAGTTCTTGCCTCATTTCATTAATTGGATTGACTGGTTGAATTCGCCAAGCCAGCCTATTGGAATCTAAGGTAGATTCTCCTTGTTTAACTGAGTTATATGTATCCACACACATCTCAAGGATTGAAACCACTGGTGGTCAGCACACCAACTGTGGATCACTCTACGAGCCACCAGTGAAGGTGATGCAAATATAGGACCAATAGGAAGGTCGTTACTTACTGGGCTTTAAGTAATGGGGAAGTGAAAGTGCACAGTCGTTCTATTTTAAGGACATGGTGGTAGCAGAAAAAGTAAAAAACTGGGAAGAGGAGGCAAGTTCAGTTTTCAACACCTTAGACCAGTTCAAACTTCACCTTTCAGTACCTGGTAGTTTTTATGTAACTACTTATGTGTCCTTAGATATAAGTGAAATGAGTGACAGCAATGATATAAGGGATGAGAAGGAGGGATTTAAGATTATTTTGTTTTATAAGGTGCTCACCCTACCCATGAACTGGCATAGTGTTATTTGAAAGTGGACTTGGATTAGTTGTAAAAGTACATTGCAAACTCTAGGGCAATCACTCAAAAAAAGTGAAAAAGAAAGAAAGAAAGAAAGAAAGAAGTATAACTGATATGCTAAGAAAGGAGAAAAAAAATGAAATGCTCAATTAAAACCACAAAAAGAGTAGAAGACAAAAATAGGAACAAAGAACAAGGCCAACAAATAGAAAACGGTAATGAGTATGGTAGATATCAACCCAATTGTATCAATAATCACTGTGAATGTCAATGGATTAAATGTACCAACTAGATGACAGAGACTGTCAGAGTGGTTACAAAATACATATGACCTAACTATATGTTGTCTATAAGAAACTTACTTTAAATATGAAGACACATAGGGACACCTGAGTGGCTCAGTCAGTTAAGCATCTGCCTTCGGCTCAGGTCATGATCCCAGGGTCCTGGGATCGAGTCCAGCATCGGGCTCCTTGCTCAGAGGGGAGCCTGCTTCTCCCTCTCCCTGCCTCTCTCCCTGCTTGTGCCCCCCCCAAATAAATAAATATCTTTAAAATAATAAATATGAAGACACATAGAGATTGAAAGTAAATGGATGGAGAAAAATATACCATGTTAACACTAATCAAAATAAAGTAGGAGTTGCTCTATGACTTTCAGAAAGAGCAGACTTTAAAACAAGGAAAAGTTATCAGGGATAAAATGGAATGCATAACATCCAAACTAGAAGAGTAAGAACGGAGGCTTTAATTAATTTAATCAGTCCAGTCGATCAGGGGTTGGCAAACTACAGTCCATGAACCAAATCTGGCCTGCTGCTTGTTTTTATATAGCTCACAGGTTAAGAATGGTTTTACACTTTAAATGGTTGAAAAAGAAGACTACTTTTTCATGATGTGTCAGAATTATATGAAATTCTAATTTCAGTGTCTACACATGAAATTTTATTGGAACACAGCGAGGCTCATTTGTTCACATCTTGTCTGAAAAAGTTTCAACAGAGCCCATATGGCCCATCAAGCCTAAAATATTCACTATGTGGCAGAAAAAAAATTTGCTATATCTTGCAATAGAAAGTGGGAACACAGAAAAATAAAGCCGCAAGAGGTTCAACACGCTATGGAGTGATGTCAGTTAACATCATCATCATCACTGACCAGTAAATACTTTTGAAAGCTATTTCCTGAAAACCTCCAAATGAAGTGAAAATGTCCAACAAGTAGTTGGAAATCCAGAGCCGGAGAGAGGAGCAAGAACAGGGCTCTCCTTGCCTCCATTGCTCTGAGGTTCAGGTTTGATCCTGCTCTGCCTCTGTGCGTGCCACCTGGGGGGGGCCCGGGTTAGAAGTGGGCTGCACAGCTGGGTTTGCCATGATGGCTGGAACTGGGCTGAGGCCCACAGTCTCTGCAAGCTTCAGGTGTCTGAGCTGTACTTTCTCTCTTCAGTTGCAGGGCGCCATCATGGTCGCTTCCTGTGTCCAGATGCTAGTGGGATTCTCAGGCCTCATTGGGTTTCTCATGCGCTTCATTGGCCCCTTGACCATCGCTCCAACCATCTCCTTGGTGGCCTTGCCTCTCTTTGATTCTGCGGGCAATAACGCTGGGATCCACTGGGGGATTGCTGCCATGTAAGTGCTCTCTGGGAATGGAGTGTCAGCTCAGTTCTTTCTGGTGGAAGATTACCCAGTAGGAATAATGTGTTCTGGATATTGGCAAACTCTTGTGGTTTACAGATAGTTTCATAAACATTATGATACTTAAAAAGTGGTGAAATTGCTACCATCAGTTATTACTACTATTTGTTACATTATTAGTCCTCAGAAACCGTAAGTTAATGACAGGCGGTATATAAGAATACTTAGTGTTTACAGAACATTGATACTGCGGGTCCTCTGCCTGCTAGGTTTTCATTGAGCCAATGTTTGTAAACCTCTGGTACCTGGGAAGGGTGCAAAGACATCGCTCCAGCTCTCAGTAATCTTATAGTGTAGGAGAGAGATGAGCCTCAGGTCCAAGGAGCTATAACACCAGGAGACAGTGATGAGCATCATAGAATGCTGTGCATGGTCCAGGGCAGGGGGTGATGACAGCCAACGGGGAGGATCAGGAAGGCTTTAGGGAAAAAAGAGGCCTTAGGCATTTCCACAGCGCTGTGAAGGGACTTGGGGTTGGCACTGGACATGCTCATTCACGCCGCGGTGATGGTCTGACCAAGAGGACTAGGACTTGCACAATGACCCGGGAGAGAAGACAGTCTCCGACTCGGGCCTCACTGGCTCCACCTGCTGGGATCTGTCCAGCTGCTGACCCGCCGGGAGTAACAGCCCCCCTTCCCGGTATTCCTCTCTAGCCACCAGCAGCTCTGAAAGGGACCAGCCCACCATCTCAGGGATGGGGCCTGCCTCCTTGGGGACGCTCCCAGTGTGGCCCGGCCACCCCGTCCCAGAGACGCGTGGTGGCTCAGCTTCCTGGACCCTTGCTCAGGACGAGCCCCAGCTTGCCAGGCTGGGCATGGCTTGTTTCTGTTTCAGGACCATCTTCCTCATCGTACTGTTTTCTCAGTACCTGAAAAACGTCGCCGTGCCAGTGCCGGTTTATGGAGGAAAGAAAAAGTGTCACATGTCTAAGTTCTACCTGTTTCAGGTCTTCCCGGTAAGAAGCACCCTTGCCCTCTTCCCTTCTTAGTGGACTCGCCCCCGGAGAGTGAAGGGCAGCCTCTCGCACTCCCAGGAGGTTCCCAAAGCAAATGCTTCCCCGTGTGCAGGGTCTCTCCTCCCTGACCCCCACTCCTCTGCCGTAGAAGGAGGCTGAGGGGAGCCCCACCGGCCGTGGGAATGCTCCCTGGCTGTTGGTGTAATGCCGTCCCCGTCGCTCCGCAAAGCTTCTCATCCCGGAGCAGAGAACCCTGCCCTAGGTCGCAGCTCTGGGCACCCGTGTGGGACATCCTTGTCACATGTTCCTGGGGCCGTCCCCATAGCAAGGTTCACGGCTAATTATAGAAAACTGAGGACCCAGTTGCTCAGATCAAGTTCTCGGTGGCTTGTGGGTAATCCGGATCCCTCGTGACAACACTGGTCCCTCACTTTTCAGACATTCCTCTGCTGGATTTGCATCTTGGTGTTAGTTTGTGTGGCTGCCAACCACACAATACGTTTTCAGGTTTAATTTAACTGTGAGCTACATTTCACGTTGTAAAAAGATACTTCCACATATCACTGATCTCTCACTGCCCTGCAGGCTGGTGGTTCTACCATTCTGCATGCACAAGAATCACTTGAGGACATTGCTAAAAATACACCTTTCTGGGGTTCTGCCACCAGGGATTAAGTATCAGTAAAGCTTCAGGCTCTGTAGAGCACTGATTGTCATTCTATTGTACAGACGAGGAAACTGAGGCTCCGAGAGTTTGATCCAAGGTCATGTGACCAGCCAACAGTGGAAGGGGGGACAGACAGTAGTCCTTTGGACCCAGGCTCTGCCTATTCTGCTAGACCTTTCTGCCTCTATTTGACACAAGGTTTTCCATGGTTTATATCCTACATTTCTTTAACGTGCTAATGACACAGATTGCGGTGGTCATTGCAAGGGCCAGTAGCCCAGCATCTCCTCACTTCAGAGAGCCTCCCCGACCTCCCTCCCTGGCCCAGCACCTCTGGAAGGTGTCGGCAGGGGCTGGGGCCCTGGGCTGGGTAGTGAAGGGGCTCCCTCTGCAGGTGCTGCTGGCGCTTTGCATCTCGTGGCTTCTCTGCTTCGTGCTCACAGTCACCAACGCCCTTCCTACAGCCCCCACCGCCTATGGGCACCTGGCCCGCACTGACACCAAAGGCGATGTGCTGAGCCAGGCTCCTTGGTTTCGCTTCCCTTACCCAGGTAATGAGAAGATAGGGCTCCTTTCTGCCAGGGACACGTGTTTTCCAGGACTGTCCATGGGGTCAAGGGCAATGAATGGAGAGTTGAATAGAGCCAGGGGATAGATCTCCTCCAAAAGATCTGACAAGGAAGAGCAGGCCCTAGGGGGTCCATGGGAGACCCCTAAGAGAAGGAGACCCTTGGGTTGTCCTAAGAATCCTCTGGGGGTGTTAGACCAAAGGCTCCCACTCCTGGACCTTCTTCTCATCCCCTCCTCCATGATACTCAGAACCCATGGTCTGAGAGCGGGCAGATCAGAGAGGTCTCGACCTTCTAGCCAGACCTTTGGGAGTCTTCCTGGATTAGTTGGATTCTACCCAAGGGAGCCTTGGGCTGACTTAGAACATTTCTAAGTCAGATACTTAAAAAATATGAGGTCAAGGCCATCCCTTAGCCCACTTCTGGTTGCCTTTCCCAGCACTTTTGGCTCAGGGGTATTAATAACCAGGTCCAGGGAGGGCTGGCCTGGCCCTGTGGACTGTGGAGCTCGTTCCTCCCTGAATAAGAATCTCTGCCTCCAAATGCTTCAAGATCTGCCCAGGAAGGGGCCCTGCTGTTGGCTGTTTTTGCACACAGTGACCTCAAGGTCTGGGTGTCTGACTTGCCCTCGGGGAGGAATGGCTGGGCAGGAGTCCAAGCCAAAGCCTCTGGACAGTTGTGGGGTTGGGAGATACACTGCCTGGTCTTTCAAGCCTTCCAAAGACCCCCTCCAGCAGAGAAGTTATTTTGGGCTCAGCAACCTGTTGTCTTCTGGATTAACGTTCCCTCTGCCTCGTTCTTGCAGGACAGTGGGGCCTCCCCACCATCAGCCTGGCTGGGGTCTTTGGGATCATTGCGGGGGTAATCTCCTCGATGGTGGAGTCAGTAGGCGATTATTATGCCTGTGCCCGGCTGGTGGGGGCCCCGCCCCCTCCGAGGCACGCGGTCAACCGCGGCATCGGCATTGAGGGTCTTGGCTGTCTTCTGGCGGGGGCCTGGGGTACAGGGAACGGCACCACCTCCTACAGCGAGAACGTCGGGGCGCTGGGCATCACCAGGGTAAGTCTGCCGCCCGTGACCTTAGGCTGGGTGCCTGCATCTGTCATCCACCTGTGGCTGCAACAAATGATCACAAACGCAGTGCTTTCAAACAACTCGGATTTGTCATTCTCTTGATCTGGAGTTCAAAAGTCCAACACGGGTCTCAGGGAGCTAAAATAAAAATATTGGCGGGGCTGTGTTTTCGTTAGCTTTGATGCAGGTCTTTGTTTCTTGTTCCTTATGAGGATTATAAACACAACCAAAAAATTCATTTTGATGTGGTAAATCCTTACCGCATGTCTTGTCAGGAAGACATTTAAATAAATAAGCTCTTAGACTGGAAAGAACAATAAGCAAAGGCAGGATCTGCTACTTTATCACTGCTGCATTAGTGAATTCAGTAGTTGCCACTTTTTAAAGATACTTAAAAAATACTTTTAATTGTGGTTAAAGACGCATGACATAAAGACTGAAATCTGCACCAATCAAACAACTCCTTATTCTCCTTTATCCCCAGCACCTGTCAACTAGCATTCTAGTTGCTGTTTCTATGAATTTGACGACTCTAGGGACTTCATCCTACAGTATTTGTCTTTCTGTGACTGGCTTATCTTACTTAGCAGAATGTCCAGGACTGTCCACAGACAGTCCGGTAATATTCCACTCCATAGATATACACCGCATTTTGTTTATGCCTTGTGTCTGGATTTCATTCTAGCTCCTCTCTGTGGCCCTTACAGCCCTTTATGGTGGAGCCCTTGCCTTGCTCTTCATCCATCTCCTATGTGTCTCTCTGTCCCCCTGCGCTCCAGACACATGGATTTTCCTTCCCGCCTCCTCCCCCGTAGCTTTACTGAGATATACTTGATTATAATATAACATTGTGTAAGTTTAAGCTGTACAGTGTGTTTATTTGATACTCTTCCATTTTGCCATGTGATGACCACCATTACCTAACACTCCCATCATGTTACATAATTACCATTTCTTTTTTTTTTTTTTTTGTGGTGAGAACATTTAAGATCTACTCTCTAGCAACTTTCAAGTGTGTAATTCGGCTTTGTTAAATATAATCACAATATTGTACATTAGGTCCCCAGAACTTACTGATCTTCTAACTGGAAGTTTGTACTCTTTGACGAACATCTCCCCATTTTTTCCACCCTGAAGACCCTAGTAACCACCACTCTACCCTATTTCTGTGAATTTAGCTTTTTTATTTTTTTACTTATTTTATTTTTTTTTTTAAGAGAGAGAGAGAGAATGTGTGAGCAGGGGTGGGGAGGGGCAGAGGGAGAGGGAGAGAAAGAGAGAATCTGAAGCAGACTCCATGTCCAGCATGGAGCCTGAGGCGGGACTCAATCTCACAACCCTGAGATCATGACCTGAGCTGAAATCAGAGTTGGACACAACCAACTGAGCCACCCAGGTGCCCTGATTTTAGCTTTTTTAGACTCCACATATGAATGGTACCATACGGTATTTGTCTTTCTCTGACATATTTCACTTAGCATAATGCCTTCAAAGTCTATCCATGTTGTTGCAAATGGAAAGATTTCATTTTTTATGGCTGAATAATATTCCTCTGTGTGTGTGTGTGTGTGTGTGTGTGTGTGTACATACCACATTTCTTTCTCCACTCATCCATTATTTAGGTTGTTTCCATGTCTTGGCTGTTGTCAATCATGCTGCAATAAACATGGGTTGCAGATATTTTTTCAAGTTAAAGTTTTGGTTTCTTTGCATAAATACTCACAAGAGGAATTGATGGATCATATGGTAATTCTATTTTTAATTTTTTGAGGAAAAGCCATGCTGTTTTCCATAGTGGCTTTGCCAATTTATGTTCCCATCAACAACACACAAAGTTTCCCTCTTCTGCACATCTCTACCAACACTTGTTATTTTTTATCTTTTTTATAACTGAATCTAACAGATGTGAGGTGATATTTCATTGTGGTTTTTTTTTTTAAAGATTTTATCTATTTATTTGACAGAGAAAGACACAGCTAGAGAGGGAACACAAGCGGGGGGAGTGGGAGAGGGAGAAGCAGGCTTCCCGCAGAGCAGGGAGCCCAATGCGGGGCTCGATCCAGGACCCTGGGATCATGACCTGAGCCGGAGACAGACGCTTAACGACTGAGCCACCCAGGCATCCCTCATTGTGGTTTTGATTTGCATTTCCCTGATGATGAGTGATGTTGAGTATCTTTTCGTGTGTCTGTTGGCCATCTGGATGTCTTCTTTGGAGAAACGTCTGTTCAGTTTCTCTGCCTATTTTTAAGTCATTGTTGTTGTTATCATTGAGTTGTATAAATTCTTTTTTATAAATACATTTTTTATATTAATCCCTGATCAGATAGATGGTTTACAAATATTTTATCCCATCCTGTAAGATGTCTTTTTATTTTGTCAATTGTTTCCTTTGCTGAGCAGAAGATTTTAGTTTGATGTAGTCCCATTTGTTCACTTTCGCTTTTGTTGTTTGTACTTTTGGTGTCATACCCCCCAAAACTGTGAAGACCAATTTCAAGGGGATTTCCCCCTCTGTTTTCTTCTAGGACTTTCATAGTTTCAGGTCTTACATTTAAGTCTTTAACTCATGCTGAGTTAAATTTTTTGAGTGGTGCAAGGTAGAGGTCCAATTTCATCCTTCTGTGTGTGGTTCTCTGGGTTTCCCAACCCCATTTATTGATGTGACTATCCTTTCCCCCATTGAATATGCTTGACTTCCTTGTCAAATATTAGTTGACCATGTATGCATGGGTTTATTTTGGGGCTCCGAATTCTGTTCTGTTGGTCTATGTAGACACATTTTTATGCCAGGATCATACTGTTTTAATTACTACAGCTTTAGAGTATTGTTTGAAATCAGGAAGTGTGATGCTTCCAGTTCTATTCTTCTTTCTCAGGATTGCTTTAGCTATTCGGGGTCTTTTGTGTTTACAGACAAATTTTAGGATTTTTTTTCTATTTCTGTGAAAAATGCCATTGGATTTTTGTTAGAGATTGCTTTGAATCTATAGATCGCTTTGGGTAGTATGGACATCTTAACAACATTAAATCTTATCCATGAACACAGGATATCTTTCCATTTGTTTGTGTCTTCTTCAATTTCTTTCATCAGTGTCTTATAGTTTTTAGTGTACAGATCTTTACCCCCTTGGTTAAATTCATTCTTAAGTATTTTATCATTTTTGATGCTATTGTGACTGGATTGTTTTCTTTATTTTTCAGATATTTTGTTGTTAGCTTATAGAAATGCAACTGGTGTGTTGATTTTTCTATTCTGTGACTTTACTGGTTCATTGATTGGGGCTGATAGTTTCTTGGTTGAGTCTTTAGGATTTTCTCTATATAAGATCATATCATCTCAGCTGTCATTTATGGCTTTCACTGTGTTGAGGTATGTTCCTTCTATGGGTATAGAGAGTTTATTGAGAGTTTTTATCATGAAAAGATGTTGTATTTTGTCTAATGCCTTTTCTGCATGATTTTATAGTTTTTATCTTTCATTTTGTTTATGTGGTGTATCACATTTATTGTTTGTGCATGTTGAAACATGCTTGCATTCCAGGGATAAATCCCACTTGGTCACAGCATATGATCCTTTTAATGGGCTGTTGAATTTGGTTCCCTAATATTTTTTTAAGAGATTTTATTTATGTGAGAGAGAGAGAGAGAGAGAGAGCACATGCACAGAGAGGGAGAAGCAGGCTCCCCACTGAGCAAGGAGGCCAACACGGGCCTCAATCCCAGGACCCTGAGATCATGACCCAAGCCAAAGGCAGATGCTTAACCAACTGAGCCACCCAGGCACCCCTGGTTTCCTAATATTTTATTGAGACTTTTAACCTCTATATTCATTAGGGATATTGGCCTGTAGTTTCTTAGAATATCATTGTCTGGCTTTGGTATCAAGGTAATGCTGGCCTTGTAAAATGAGTTTGTGAAGTAAGTATTATTCATTCCATTTGGTAAATTTGCAGGCTATTTGGAGAGGTTAAGTAATGTGCCCAAAGTCACACAGCTAGTTAGAAGCAGAGCTGGGGTGGGCCATCACATGCCCATTTTTAAGCACTGGGCCACTGCCTTCCGAGAGAGACCTTTTGCCTCACTGGAAAGGCTTCTTAGGGGAGGAGCACTTGAGTCAGGACTTTAAGGCAGGGATAGAGCAGTGAGTGACAAGATGAGGCCAGAGGCCAGGACACAAGGTCACACCCTCATCCTTTCCAACCCCATGTGCAAGTAAGGGGGCCATTTTGGGGTCATGTTGTATGGCTCTTACAAGTCCCCTGGAGTGTTGTTTGTAGAGCAAGGCAGAGACCTGCTGAGCATCTCATCCCTCAATCCCCTGAGCCCCACAGGTGGGGAGCAGGATGGTGATGGTTGCTGCTGGCTGCTTGCTGCTCCTGATGGGCGTATTTGGGAAGATTGGGGCTGCCTTCGCCACCATCCCAACCCCTGTGATCGGAGGCATGTTCCTGGTGATGTTTGGGGTCATCACCGCCGTGGGGATCTCCAATCTGCAGGTGAGGCAAGGTGCTCCTAGAAGAGCAGCCAGGGAATCTCTTGAAAGGAGCCCAAGGGGATTGAGATGGAGGGAATAGGGCTGGGGCTGAGTGGAGGAGAAGGAATCATTGGTCCCAGAAACCACAATGGCTTCCAAATGGAAGACAGAAGTAGCCAGAAGCATCCAAACTTCTGAAAAACAGAAACTGCATCAGTTTGAATTGGGTCGTTCAGACCACTCAACTCCCAGGGCCAAGTGGGAATCGGGGCCTGGCTTGCCCACTGAGTGTGTTGCTAGGAGTCCAGCCTCAGTACCCCCCCACCCCTGGTGGCAGTGGGAGGGGAGTGGGCACTTGGAGGGGAGTTAGATTGCTATGCAGAACAGGTGCTGATGACTCTGGGCTTCCATGGTGGCCTCTCTCCTGCAGTATGTGGACATGAACTCATCCAGGAACCTCTTTATCTTTGGCTTCTCCATCTACTGTGGGCTCGCCATTCCCAGCTGGGTGAACAAGAACTCTGAGACGCTCCAGACAGGTGATTCTCTGTCTTCTAAACTGTGACCACTCCAGGGGCAGGGCCAGTGGGGACCTTGGTCCCTGGGAATCCCTGTTACTTTTGTCTTCACTCTAGGGATTCTCCAACTGGACCAGGTCATCCAGGTGCTGCTGACCACGGGCATGTTTGTTGGTGGATTTCTGGGCTTTTTGCTGGACAACACCATCCCTGGTAGGGCTCGCCTTCACTCTGTAGGCTGGTGGTGTGGGTAGATAGGCAGCATTTGGGCCACCCACATGGCTTCTCTGACCCTTATTACCATGTCAGGCTGACCACAGCATATCCTGAGCAGGCCCTGCCTCTGGGTGGGACATACAGGCCCGTATTAGCTTTCTAGGGCTGCCATAACAAAACACCCTGGACCGGTTTAAACAGCCAAAGTGTATTTCCTCACAGTCTGGAGGCTAGAAGACTGAGATCAAGGTGCTGGCAGAGTTGGTTTCTCCCGAGGCCTCTCTCCTTGGCTTGCAGATGGCCGCCTTCTTGCTGTGACCTCACATGGCCTTTCCTCTGGGTGGGTGCATCTCTGGTGTCTCTCTGTGTGTCCTAGGCTCTTCCTATAAGGACACTAGTCAGATTAGATTAGGGCCCACCCTAAAGACCTCATCTTTAATGGAATCACCTTTTTAAAGGTCCTATCTCCAAATATATTCACATTCTGAAGTGGGGGGTTAAGGCTTCAACCTATGATTTTTGAGGGGACACAATTCAGCTAAACAGGGCCCTAAGGTGAGAAACACACTAGAAACAAAAACAGCTAAGAGCCCAAAGTCTGATTGGTGAGAGAGAGAATACATGTATTCTTTCTTTCTTTCTTTTTTTGTAAAGATTTTATTTATTTATTTTGAGAGAGAGAGAGATGAGAGAGAGAGAGAGAGAGCACATGAGAGGGGGGAGGGTCAGAGGGAGAAGCAGACTCCCTGCCGAGCAGGGAGCCCGATGCG